AAAGTTAAAAACATTTGAAAAAGAAGCATTATAAAAATAAGACGAATAATTAAAGCCAATAAGCTAAGAGGATTGATTAAAAGTAGGCTGGAATGAGACAAAAGAGAATATAAAGTTTGTTTTTAATTACTGATAGACTTCATAAAAAAATTATAAAATAAAGATTAATGCTAACTCTAGTATACTTTTATATGATAAAGCATCAAAATAAGCATATAAAAGTATTAAAAAGTTCATGACAATCTCTTTCAAAGATTCTTAATTTTACTCAGAAAAAATAAACTATTTTATAAAATATTCAGAAACCAGATCTTTTATTCCTCCTATTTTATTTTATTATTGAGTTGAGATAAATTCTTCTCCACATTTATCATTTTCTTTGGCAATTCTAGAGTTGTGTCTTTATCGTTTACGTCGATTATGACATCAAGCTGGAGCTAGATTTTTTTAATAATTTTTTCCTGAGTTGTTCATCTTTTGTCTTCTTGACTTACTTCACAAAGAAGCAGAATGTATTTCAGATGTTTAACGTAAACTTTTGAAACTATGGATTTGATTATCTTTTTGTTCAATAAGAATATATATTAATTTTATGTATATGAAATTTTTTATTTTTAGTTTATTACTTAAATACGATTAGGAGATACCTCTTTTTTATCTGTAATGAATTCTTCCCATTGTGCATCCAATGAGAGTTTCTACTGTGTCAAATGATATTCATTTGCTCTGACCATGTAACTTTCTAAGAGATTCTGAAATAAATAACTATATTTTTTATTGTCAATTTACCTTAAATTATAATATTAAAATTTGATTTTGATATGTTTATTTCATGAAAAATGGATACAATTTTGATGGTGTTATTACATGCTTATCTTTGATCATGTCTTCAAGAATTGATCCTTCATTAATAGTCATATCCCCAAATAAAATTACACGTTGAATCATGCCACTATATAGGAATGGTCGGGGGTTTAATAATAACCAAAGTTGAAAGCACATAACTATCAAGTTATACTATAGAAAATTCGATCTCACGAGGAAGGTGTTGTAAGAGATAATCAAAATTAGTTTTTAAGTTGTGTGCATGATAATTAGGAGGGATAGAAGTGGTTGTGGAGAGATAAAGAGAGTGCTTGCGACTATATGCAAATAAAACAAAAATAGATTAAGAGGGGAGAAAGAAAGATGAAGAAATAGAGGAAAACAAAATTTAGAAACAAATAAAGAAAAATCAAGAATAAAGAGAAATTTCAAGAAAGTAAAAGATGAAGGATTCAATATGAGGAATCTAGAATTGAATCGACTAGTCAATTTTACTTAGAAATTATAAACTATTCTCGTTTTTCACATTTTACTAAAGATTTATTAAGCATAGACTATCAAACCACTTAAGGAAAGCATAAGCTATAAAATTATAACAAAAAAGTAACATTCATGAAAAGAATGACAACTAGATATTAATTCTAGAATTTATAAGCATAACCTATCAAATCACTCAAGATAAGCATATATTATCAAATTCTTCTTCCCAATTAGTTCTCTAGTTGATTACCCCAAGCATGATTATTTTAAGCACAAAAGAATAATTTGCAAATTATAAAAGAAATCAAACTAGTTTTATACAATTTTAGAATTCCTACTAGAATTACTTTTACATCTTAGAAAATAAAAACAAAGAAATAAAATCTATACTAGAGAGAATGAAAAGAAGAAAATGAAAATAAAAATTAATTTCCAAGAGAATTCTAGCCTTTTGGAGAATAAAAGGAAAAGAATAAAAATAAAAACCAATTTTCAAGAGGGTTCTAACCTCTTGGAGAATAAAAGGAATAGAAAAACTAATTATAAAGAGGGTTCTAGCCTTTTGAAAATAATATAAGAAAATAAAATCTAAATTATACAAGAAAATAAACATATACTAAAAAATAAAGACATAAAAGTAAATCAACTCTACATGGCATTAAAATAAATCTAAAATAAGAGGGTTCTAGTCCATTGAATATCCAAAATAAGAAAAGAAAATATTACAAGAAAATAAAAGACAAAAGAAAAATTTTACATTGCAAGAGCGTTCTAGCCTCTTGGAAGCAAACATTCATCTTCATCTTCATCATCAAACAAAAAGAAAAAAAAAAGAAAATATGAAGAGGTAAAAAAAATTATTTTATTAATTGCAATAAAGTTATAAATTTGGAAGATCTTCTCAATTAAGAGTAACTCTCCTCTCTAAATGGAGTTATTACAAAAACTTTTTACACTCAAACCCCTCAACATCTACCCCTATTCATAGCCTACAGCAAGTAATTAACAAGAACCATTAGATTTTACTTAGGCTCTAAGGATTAAATCTTAGCCATAAAACAATTTTGTTACAAACCAATTGGCTGGTCAATCGATTGGTCAATCGATTGACCAACTGATTAGAATTCTAAAATTTTAAAAATGCAGTTAGTTCCGTCTCGTCGAGATAGGTAATTTTCATATATTATATGTTAAATTTCGCCTTTCGGATTGAAAGATATCTCTGTTTCTTTACGGCTAGTCATCTTGAACATGATTTCAACTTGATTTCTTTTTATATTGGATCCTTACTTCTTCGGGTTCTATATATCGCTTGGCTTGAGCCCGAGCTTCAATAAAAGGTTAAAAAATGAGGAAATTTGAGTTATCTTTTAGCTCTTATTCATTAATTATTCTTTAACCTACAAATTAAGGTAAAACATGTTATTAGTGACATATTTACTTAAATAAGATAGATAATAAGGGTATAAAAATGTAATAAAAATATTATTTTCAAGAAAAAAGAAAAAGGTCGATTTTTAAATTTTTTTAACTTACGCTATTGTAAATATGTATCATGTGTACACGTTTTGCCCATTATAGTGATTTACCTAATCTTATCTGCCTTGTTATATCTCGTAACATAGTTAATTAATGGCTTTAGTTTAGTTTCTATTGCAAGATTTTTTGTATGTAATTTTATATTACTTTTATGATTGATGAAGTATTTGGAGAATAATGTATGAAAATTTATAAAAACTTACTAATTTTTTATATATCCTTCATGGAGAATGTTTATTTGATTGGGAAAAAGTTGTTTAATATGTTCTTTAAGGGGAATTCAATCGGTGCTTCTTTGATAGATATGAGTTTTGTCAATGTTAATTCAAGTAATTCATAACCGTTTCTGAACTTTAGGTTTATTTCCTTCACTTCTGCAATTGAAATGAAAACAACTTGATTCTCTTGAAGGGTATCTCTAAACTTTCTGATAGCTTTTCTATATATAACTCCTTGTATTTTTTACTCTATAAATATTATTAACATCAGAGATTAATGTTTATACATTATCATCAATTAATGTTAAGCTATTGTATTATAGACTTTTATCAATTTTATGTAATTTAGTCTTCTATCAATTAATATTGTTAGTAAAATTTTATGCAATCCATTTAATTTATACAGTGACGTTGATTTTTAATCTATCATATATTTTTAAATTTTTATTCCTTAATTGGATATTTTTAGTCTATTGTTATTACTATTTTTTACCAACATCAATTTAGACTACTTTTAGATGCTAAAAATGGACAATAAAATTTAAATTGAAAGTTAAATTTATATATCTTAAATGAAAGAATATCAATAAATTAGTCTTTTCTTTGCTAAGTTTAGAAATTTCATACTTTTTTGTGATTTTGAACTCTTGAGGATGTGGCTTGCAATTTTTAAACTTAGATAATGTTTTTTTAAAATTTTAAGTTTTAAGTTGGGTGCTTGTAATTTTCATATTTCGTAGGTTGGTGGTGAGTTTTTAAATATTAGGATATTTCTTGCAACTTTGATATTTTGTGGATGTTTTTTGTACAAATTAGGTTGTTTTTTATAAAATTCAAATTTTCAACAGTCTACTAATAATTTTCAGATTTGATGTGTATTGGTTATAAGTTTTGAAATTTTAGATTTTTGCGATTTTTAACTTTTGAGGGAGTTTTTATAAATTTTGTAACTTTGAATTATTTTTGCTAATTTTAAATTTTCAAATGCCTATTAATAATCCATTGAGCTCATCTATGTTGTTTGGAAGTTTTGAAATTTCAAAATTTTAGGGTGCTTTTTGTAATTTAAACTTTTGAGGTCGTTTCTATAAAATGTTGAGGGTGTTAATTGTAAATTTTAAATTCTTCGGGGGTTACTGCTAATTTTTAGATTTCATGTTTGTTGTTTTAAGTTTTGAAAAGTCAGGGTGTTTTGTTTAATTTTAAACTTTGAGGGTATTTTATATAAATTTGAAAACTTTTGGGGTTTTTTCGGAATACTTCATGTATTATAATATGTTAGCTATATATGATTTCTCAATCTTATTTTTTAAATTGTTGCACTTTAGATAGCTCACGTGTGATTAGTATATGATATAATTAGTACTAGGATAGATTAGAATTTAAATTAAATATTCACAATAGTATTTCATATGTTTTATTAATCTTATTTTTTTAAATTGTTGAGATACATGCAGTTCACACGGGATTAGTAAAAGAATTAATTTAAATGAAGATAAAATAAGATTTGAGTAAAATATTTAAAATAGTAAAAAGTAATATTAATCATACAATCTTTTTTCCAAACTCATACTTTTAAATGGAGTTAGTTATTACATGTATATGCACACAAATTTATTTTCTTGCTAGAGATTCCTAAACCTTTGATTTGAACCGAACTTTCCTCTTTGGGTAATTAGGGGAGACACGAAACCCAAAAGATGAAACCCGACCCAGTTACAGAAAGGACAACAGGGTAAGTAAGAACTGATATGCTCAACCGCGGTAAACTCCTCCGCCCGCGGTCGACAAAACAAGAGGAGCGGGGCCCGTTCCATATATAATATAAAATATTAAAAATGATAATAATTTGATTTCTATAACTCCGAACCTAATTCCGAGCCTAACTACAGCTGGTGACAGCCTGTCAGCAACCCAACCCCCTTTTGTCCCTTATCCCTCTCTCTCTTTTCTTCCTCTACCTTTTCCTCTCTCTACGAATTTCGTTTTTCTCTCTCTCCCTCTTTCCCCTCGTTGATCCTGGGGCTTCTGAGATTTCTCGCTGCGGCTCTTGGATCCGGGTTCAGCGCTTCAAGGGCTTCGTCTTGACCCTGGTATCGTTGGATTTGGCCTCCCTGCGCTCAGATTAGGGTTTCTACGTCGTGGAAGTTTTTGAGTGCTGGATGCTCCGCTGAGGTACCTCCTTCTCTCTTGTGTTGTGAGTTGAATCTGTCAAGTTTATGATTGTTTGTGTTGTCAGTTGGGAGAAGTTTTAGATGAATCTAGGATTTACTCATTTTGTTTTTCCTATAATTTTTACATGGGTTAATGAAGATGTGATGTTAAAGGAGTGGTATTTAGGAGTCGTGTTGTTGATTTATTATGCGACACATTGGTTAATACTTGAGAGGGATTTAAAGGTCAGTCGCTTGCCCCCCCTGCAGAATTGGAAGAAATGACTGACTTGTTGGCGTAATTGTGTTTGATTGCTTTGCAAGCATAAATAATAGATGATTTTACGGCTTCTTTGAACCATGTGGAAAAATACTCTTTTTAGTTTAGAGATCAAGCTTATAGAAGCTTGATTTTATGCAAGAATTTGATTATTCAGGTAAGTGGAAGAAATGCCGGTGTTCTACGTTTAGAAGGAATGACAAAGATTGTCTTTTGACTATTTGATAAATCGAGATGTAGGTTATGTTGTGAGGAGGGTTTATTGGGATGGTTGTTTTAGTGTCATTCAAATAGGTGGTACCTGCGTAGGGTTGGACGCTTGGTCCTTTGGTTGCTTGAATATTACGTTATAAGAGTGTGAAGTTTGTGTCTTTCAATTGGCCATGGTCCTCATTTTCCAATATCCGCCAATCAACGTTGTGGTCTTCCTGTGAACGCTCTGTTTTTGGCCAATGCCGCAAATTATTTGTCTTGTTTGTCGTCAGTGAGGCTATTAGTATTTATGGAAACTCTCTTTTCTGTACTTGATTTAATGTTGGCGGCTTCTGGTTAGCCTGCGGATTTTAAGGGAGCTCCTTTCTTGACGAGTGCGACTGGGATTGACGTGTCGCTTAGTGTCGGTATCACTTGAACAAGCAGCTAAATACTCAGAATAGTCTTGTTAGATTTTTGAGGTGAGTGATGGGGTGAAATCACTTGTGCTTGTTAAAAGGCTTTTAACTATAATAAATGCATAATAGCAAAAAAATAATAAAAATAAAAATAAATAGGTCTTTAATCATTCCCCATCAACCTTTATCATAGAGTGCAAAACAAAAAAATTGCAGGTATGTAGTACATATACAAGTCTTTTACTAGCAAGTGAGAGACATTGAACTATGACATAGGAACATGAATGCCTAAGTTCCACGGGTACGGGTACAACCTTACAGGACACAATTTGGAAAAGGTAGGATACAGGGACATGACTATATATGTATGTTATGTACATTTACATGTTTAAAATTTATAATTTACATTAGATAAATATTGTTTTTCCATTTACATAAGAGCAATGTATAAGAAATAGTCGTGAAGTGTAGGATATACGTCCAAGAAGTGTATGAGTGTTTTAAATTAAATCGTGTATTATATAGTTGAGTATATGCTAAGCAAACATATCACATATTCGAGAATTGTCCAAGAAGTTTCGGTATGTGCATGGGTAGGGGTGTTGGGTACGGGTATGGCTGCCTTACAAAAGTACCCAGGTAATATAGCTTCTCATGGATACCAAGATTATCATTATTTGATAAAATTTGATGCTTCGCTCATACAATGTTTAACTCATTTGCTTACATTATTACTTTTAACAGCACCCTTAGTGTAGCCCTCTTTTAAGAAGCCCAAGTGTTAGCATGTTTAGCACTTGGTAAGGTGGTGGTCTGATGATTGAGGAACCAGACTTGGTTAATCCATCTACCTCTTTGCACTTGGTTGAGTTTTAATAGGATAAGATTTTGCTTGGAATTTTGCAACTTGAAATCCCTTTTGGCCCCTTTTATTTGTCTTGGTATACCTGAAGTTTATTATTTTGATTCCTAAGAACCTTTTAGTTTATTCTGTCGATATTCTATAATAAGCATGAACTAATCGTGAAGTATGATTATACATGAATACTTTGGTTTTGTCATGAAATATTTTACTTGGTTCTTTTGTTTATGTTTTACTATAACTTATATCATGGGTTGGAAGTAGGAGGCATGTCATGCACAATACTAACAATAGAAATCTGTGAGAAACCATTATTAATGATATTTTTAGCGAAAAATATCTTCAATAAAAATCTTGAAGCTTTCTGTTTAACACTTGTAAGTGTTAATATATTTTTCTTTTATTCTTGCAAAATAACTTCCAGCCGTACGTTGTGCTAATAGATTGCGGATTTAGTAGTTTCTTCTCTCCATAATAAATGTTGTAAAACATACACCTTCAACATTTGAACCTTCTGATACAGGTTTTTATGACTCTTTAAGACAGAAATTCTAGCATTATCTCAGAGAAAAAGTCAGCTGGTTCCTTATGCATTTAAGATGTTATAGGCTGAACGTTGATTGGAAAAGACTTCGTCCTATAATCCTTAAAAGAATAAATAACAGGGTCAAAGACTATACATTGAAGAGCATGACTGCTATAACAAACGATGTCCTTGAATCCTGAAAACTTTTGATCCAAGGTGTCTCTACTCTTCTCAAAGTAATCCCAGCGAAATCTTGCAAGTTATATGATATCTTTTAAATCCATGTCTACAAGTAATTGTTATTTAGTTTTTTCTGTAATAATAAACACCTACATATTTGCTATAATATTCTTGTACAACATCTCGTATAATGATGCGATAGTGAGAAAGTGACCATTGACATACATATCATTTGATACTGTTGATGGGGATGTAAACAGGCAAACTATAGGTATGATCCATGCAATATCCATACACAAAACAACACCGGGTCAGAGTCTATTCTTTTTAATTGGTTCATTTGTCTTCTAATTCTTGAAAGTTAATGCTATTTGACATTGTCATTTAATGTAGTGCACATTCTTAGATGGAGACTAAACAACTACCAAGAGTGCACCGTCTAAAGAGATCCTAGTGAATTACTGATATAGGTACCTAATTGAGATAAATGGAAAGATTCAATAAATGTTTTGGTTTTTTTGTTTAGATTACTGTTGATATATTTATTTAGATAATTAATTAATGCATGAATTAAAAGGCATAAAAGAGTACTATCCATCTTTTGATTCTTTGAATAGTATATTTTTTCGTTGTTTTCACTCGAGGTTTGATCCATCAGCCTTAACATAATGAATTTTGAGCATATTTGTAAAATATAGCTAAAACCAAACTATATAGTCGATATTGGCTGACAACATTTAGTACATGCTGATGTAGAATAATAATTCTAACCACGAGATATGAGGTTTGAAGTAATTGAAGTTGAACGGGTAATGCAATATTAGGAACAAATCATTGAATTTAAAGTTCGTGATTAAACTTGAAGTTACTTTATTCACTTATAAAACCGATCCGATACTGCTAAAATCACATAATATCCGATACATATACCAATTGGCAATAAACATGCAATCCAAATCTCGACCAATTTTGAAATTTCAAATCTTGTTTCCACAAAAACAATGCACCACAACCCAGCATGCAAAGTTCTTGCATTGCCAGAACTACAGTTAATAGGTTCAAAAGTATATACATTCTTTTTAGTAAATGTCTGAGATGTAATTCCTTTTCTAATTTTAATAGGTTCAAAAGTATATACATTCTTTTTAGTAAATGTCTGAGATGTAATTCCTTTTCTAATTCATTTCCTTTTTAAATTTCACAAATTATTCTTTTTAGTAAATGTCTGAGATGTAATTCCTTTTCTAATTCATTTCCTTTTTAAATTTCACAAATTTCCTTGAACTTTGGAGTGTTTTGCACAACCCTCCCCGCACCCGCGATCTTTATAAACTAGACAACACCTTGTGAACTTGTTTTACTAAAATATGATGGTAGTTAGTTTAAGCTGCCCTGTGCTTGGCTTATGACATGTTTTAAAGAACTGCCCTTATTTACTTGATATATCTGCTATATTGCCCTTTTTCAGGTACTGTCCCGAGGTATACATTGGTAGCAGGGGCCACCAAATCAAAAGCTGCTATGGCTTCAAGCGTATCAAGGACCAGGAGCACAGATTGATCGACGCCACCGTTAACGACATCCTTAGCCCCGTTGAAGCCTTCCACCTCCAAGTCATATTCCAGCCAATGATAAGCCACGACCAGCGTTTTGATTTCGATCGCATCTCTGCAGTCAAACTCTGTTTCCAAGTCGGAGCCAAAGTTTCAGACAGAACCTCTTATACAACCTAACACTAGATACAAAAGAATTGTATCGGATTGGTCAAGACTCTGGATGCATGGGAAAAACTTAGGGATGGAGTTCAGAAGCTCCTGTTTGTATACCTAACCAAAGTTTGTGAGCACTGCTTAGAGGTTCACATTGGACCCTCAGGCAATAAAGTTCGTGCATGTGGGGTTTTTAGTTATGAGGGGTGGCATGGGGCCCACCGGTGGAGGAAGGCAGGGGTGGACGATTTGGTGCTTCTGAAGGTCGTGGCACCGGCGGACGCATGATCTTGAGGTGCTTGGTGATGCTGGACGGGGGTAGTATGGTTATTCCTCGACTGGTGGAGCTATGTATGCAGGTTGGTGCTAGAGTGAAAGAAGTACTTCTGTATGATGAAGCTGCTGGGATTAGCCCCTAATGTTGAAGAAAAAGGTATGAAGGTTTAGCCGAGGTTTAAATGAGAAAATTTTGGGATTTGTATGACTTTTCTTATAAAAAATAATAAAGGGAAAGTATAGCCACTCCAGCTATTTCCGTCGCTGATAGAATTAATATGGCGCTTTGAAAGCAAAAAGAAAAATCTTTGGAATGTGCAAATATGATGGATTATGGTAATATTCAGTTTAATAACTCTGGGGTTATGTTGGGGAGAGGCATCCAACCACCCCCTTTCCAAAACCTAAAAAAACCCCACTCACCCACAAACAAGTTTTATTTAGGGTTTATTTGCGGATATGCCCCTTTAGTAGTGCCCAATTGTAGATAGATATCCTGTAGTTTATATGATATGGATCGATCCCCTCGGTGAACTTGTTTTTTATAACTCTTTTATGGGCCAAAACAAAAGATGAGGTCTACCTGCACCAATTGAATCGCCCTTCTAAAACTTGTTTGACTCTTTCACTCAGGGGTCTGTCTGCATAATTAAAACTACATGGGGTCTATCCATAACTGAGTGAATACTCGGTTTTATTGGTTTTTTTTGGGCTGGGGTGTGGGGGTTGTCTTTCCACAACTCCCTACTTTTAAGGTTTCTGGAGTTGTGTATAAGAGCACATTATGAGTTCTTATTTGTTTTCAATTATGGAGGCGACAAATGTTATAAGGTAGGATTAAATTGGCTTGTCTTGTGTTTTTCTATATATTGAGACAAGCATTGGTTGGTAGTGTTTATTATGTGTTCAGATATATATTTGTTCGAGGGCCAAGGAGATAATTTGTTGGCGTGTTGTAGAGATGAATTTGTTGGCGTGTTTTTCTATATACTGAGACAAGCACTAGGTTTCACCACCAATCCATTTATCAATTTCTAACTAAGAAGCCTAGCGTATTGTGTTTGGCAACCCTTTGAAATTAGATTAGGACTAGACCTAGCTAAATTTTGAGTGCTTATTTGTTTGGCAAAAAAATTGCTAAACTTTACCCAACTAAGACCAAATTTTGGCCATTAAACCAGCATAATTGAATCACCCTCCTAGTGCAAACAATAATTGGTTTAGAATATAATAGGGCCAGGGCCCAGGACGGACCTAACCCAGGTCTAGGTGGCTTGCCAAACACGTGTTCAGTTCCTAACCAATAATCCAGGTCAGTTCATAATTAATTCATCAGATAATTAATAAGAAACATCCAAGCACAAATTTTCGCATCTTGGTAATATGCCAATAATTCAATAATCACTATAGCATATAAAACAAATTCATCCCTACAACACGCCAACAAATTATCTCCTTGGCCCTCGAACAAATATATATCTTAACACATAATAAACACTACCAACCAATGCTTGTCTTAGTATATAGAAAAACACAAGACACAAGCCATATTAATCCTACCTTATAACATTTGTCGCCTCCATAATTGAAAATAAATAAGAACTCATAATATGCTCTTATACACAGCTCTAGAAACCTGAAAGTAGGGAGTTGTGGAAAGACAACCCCCCACACCCCAGCCCAAAAAAAACCAAAAAAAATTGAGTATTCACTCAGTTGTGGATAGACCCCATGTAGTTCTAATTGTGCAGACATGCCCCTGAGTGAAGTTATTTTCACTCTTAAAAGAGTCAAAACAAGTTTTAGAGGGGCGATTCAATTGGTGCAGGTAGACCCCAACTTTTGTTTTGGCCCCTAAAAGGGTTAAAAAAACAAGTTCACTGAGGGGGTCTATCCGTATCAAATAAACTACAAGAGATCTATTTGCAATTGGGCACTACTAAGGGGGCCTATCCGCAATTAAACCCTAAATAAAACTTGTGTGTGGGTGAGTGTGGTTTTTTTAGGTTTTGGAAAGGGGGGTGGTTGGATGCCTCTCACCAACATAACCCCCGAGTTATTGAACTGAATATTACCATAATCCATCATATTTGCACATTCCAAAGATTTTTCTTTTTGCTTTCAAAGCGCCATATTAATTCTCTCAGCGACGTAAATAGGTGAAGTGGCTATACTTTTCCTTTATTATTTTTTATAAGAGAGGTCATACAAATCCCAAAATTTTCTCATTTAAACCTCAGCTAAACCTTCATACCTTCAACAACTTTAGGGGCTAATCCCAACAGCTTCATCATACAGAAGTACTTTCACACTCTAGCACTAGCCTGCATACATAGCTCCACCACAGCCGGGGAATGACCATAATACTCCCGTCCATCATCCCTAAGCACCTCAGGATCATGCGTCCGTCGGTGCCACACGACCTTCAGAGGCACGAAATGGTCCATCCCTGCCTTCCTCCACCGGTGGGCCCCTCGCCACCCCTCATACCTAAAAACCCCACATGCACGAACTTTATTGCCTGAGGGCCCAATGTGAACCTCTGAGCAGTGCTCACAAACTTTGGCTGAGTATACAAATAGGAGCTTCTAAACTCCATCCCTAAGTTTTTCCCATGCATCCAGAGTCTCTTGACCAATTCGATACAATTCTTTTGTATCTAGTGTTAGGTTGTAAGAGGTTCTGTCTGAAACTTTGGCTCCGGCTTGGAAACAGAGTTCGAGGGTGTTAGGTTGTAAGAGGTTCTGTCTGAAACTTTGGCTCCGGCTTGGAAACAGAGTTCGAGGACTGCAGGGATGCGATCGGAGTCACAACGTTGGTCGTGGCTTACATTGGCTGGAACATGGTTTGGAGGTGGGAAGCTTCAACGGGGCTAAGGATGTCGTTAACGGCGGCGTCGATCCATCTGTGCTCCTGGTCCTTAATACGCTTGAAGCCATTATAACTTTTGATTTGGTGGCCCCTGCTACTAATGTATATCTCGGGACAATACCTGAAAAAGGGCAATATTGCAGATATATCAAGTAAATAGGGGTAGAGTTCTTTAAAACATGTCATAAGCTAAGCACAGAGCAGCTTAAACTAACTACCATCATATTTTAGTAAGACAAGTTCACAGGGTGTTCTCTAGTTTATAAAGATCGGGGGTGCGGGGAGGGTTGTGCAAAACACTCCAAAGTTCAAGGATGATTTGTGAAATTTAAAAAGGATATGAATTAGAAAAGGAATTACATCTCAGACATTTACTAAAAAGAATGTATATACTTTTGAACCTATTAACCGTGGTTCTGGCAATGCAAGAACTTTGCATGCTGGGTTGTGGTGCATTGTTTTTGTGGAAACAAGGTTTGAAATTTCAAAACTGGTCGAGATTTGGATTGCATGTTTATTGCCAATTGGTATAAGTATCGGATATTATGTGATTTTAGTAGTATCGGATCGGTTTTATAGGTGAATAAAGTAACTTCAAGTTTAATCACGAACTTTAAATTCAATGATTTGTTCCGAATATTGTATTACCGTTCAACTTCAATTACTTAAAACCTCATATCTCGTAGTTAGAATTATTATTCTACATCAACATGTATTAAATTTCGGGAACAGCTCAGCTTCAGCTAGAAGCCGTCAGATATGACAATTACTGTGGGATCCGTGAGGGAGTGCATTCCGATGATGAACTCTCGGATTCCTATTCCGCTCTCGCTTCTGACGACACAACGTCTAGCATAGGGCAAGCTCGAGAGGTGCTCATGGTCAACACAGATCAGATAGCCAAAATCATTGAAGAGGCCCTGGCTAGGCAGAAGGAAATCTTCAAGATCGAAATGGGAATGGCTATGCAGGAGATGAAGTGCAATCCAGCCATCGCACCCAGAACGCCGCAGTTAGCAGCAATCCGGAGGTGGTTGAAATCGTCATGGCCAACGCACCACCCAAGAATACTGGGGGTAGCCCCACTAAAAATAACAGCGCTGGGGGTGGACCCACCGGTAGTGATAACACTGGGGGTGGCCGTCTGATTCCTCTCGAGACTTATCCAAAACAGGATATGGGTGAGGCCGAAAAGATGAAGGAGCTCGAAAGAAATTGGATTGCATGTTTATTGCCAATTGGTATAAGTATCGGATATTATGTGATTTTAGTAGTATCGGATCGGTTTTATAGGTGAATAAAGTAACTTCAAGTTTAGTCACGAACTTTAAATTCAATGATTTGTTCCTAATATTGTATTACCGTTCAACTTCAATTACTTCAAAACTCATATCTCGTAGTTAGAATTATTATTCTACATCAGCATGTATTAAATGTTGTCAACCAATATCGACTATATAGTTTGGTTTCAGCTATATTTTACAAACATGCTCAAAATTCGTTATGTTAAGAAAGTTGATGGATCAAACCTTGCGTGAAAACAACGAAAAAATATACTATTCAAAGAATCATAAGACGGATAGTACTCTTTTATGTCTTTTAATTCATGCATTAATTAATTATCTAAATAAATATATCAACAATAATCTAAACAAAACATTTATTGAATCTTTCCATTTATCTCAATTAGGTACCTATATTAGTAATTCACTAGGATCTCTTCAGACGATGCACTCTTGGTAGTTGTTTAGTCTCCATCTAAGAATGTGCACTACATTAAATGACAATGTCAAATAGCATTAGTCTCCATCTAAGAATGTGCACTACATTAAATGACAATGTCAAATAGCATTAACTTTCAAGAATTAGAAGACAAATGAACCAATTAAAAAGAATAGAGACAATGTCAAATAGCATTAACTTTCAAGAATTAGAAGACAAATGAACCAATTAAAAAGAATAGACTCTTGACCCGGTGTTGTTTTGTGCATGGATCCTACCTATATTTTGTCTGTTTACAACCCCAACCCCGTCTATAGTATCAAATAATATGTATGTCAATGGTCACTTTCTCACTGTTGCATCATTATACGAGATGTTGCACAAGAATATTGTAGTAAATATGTAGGTGTCTATTATTACAGATAAAGCTAAATAACAATTACTTGTAGACATAGACTTAAAAGATATCATATAACTTGCAAGATTTCGCTGGGAATACTTTGAGAAGAGTAGAGAGTCTAGAGACACCTTGGATCAAAAGCTTTCAGGACTCAAGGACATCGTTTGCTACAGGAGTCATGCTCTTCAACGTATAGTCCTTGACCCTATTATTTATTCTTTTAGGGATCATAGGACGAAGTCTTTTCCAGTCAACGTTCGACCTATAACATCTTAAATGCACAAGGGACCAGCTGACTTCTTCCCTGAGATAATGCTAGAAATTCTGTCTTAGAGCCATAAAAACCTGTATCAGAAGGTTCAAATGTTGAAGGTGTATGTTTTACAACATTTTTTATGGTGAGAAGAAACAACTAAATCCGCAATCTATTAGCATAACATACGGCTGAAAGTTATTTTGCGGGAATAGAAGAAAAACATATTAACACTTACAAGTACACTTACAAGTGTTAAACAGAAAGTTTCTAGACTCTTATTGAAGATGTTATACGCTGAAAATATCATTAATAATGGTTTCTCACAGATTTCTATTGTTAGTCTTGTGTATGACATTTCCAATACACTTTCAGCTACATTTTCTAGCTCTTAAACGCTTGCATGGCATAAGATTGAAAGGCTATTTACTTTGTTTCTCCAAGTTGGTATGAGGCTTGACAGAAAAAGTGGCTCATTGTGCAGTGACTATTAAGTTTGATAAAAGATTAAGGTTCCCAGCTTAGTTTAGTTTATTTCGCTAGTATCCTGGCTCGGGGGTTTTATTGGTTTCCTGCATCAATGTTTATGTTTTGCTAGTTTTTGTTGTTTCTATCTTTCGTTATGAATTACAATCCATGAAAAAGAGTAATAACCTCAGTACTTACAATGTAAAAACCCCATCTGCCTGTTTTCTTCCTTTAATGTAAGAGGCCTCTTAGTTCTCCATCATGCATGAACCAAAATCAACCACGGCTACCGTACTCATTGTGAATGAAATATGACGCACTGCCATCTCTTGGTTTTAAATCCTTCTGAGGTAGTGCTGGTGTCTTAGTTTCAGTGTTGTTAACTTGACACCATCAGGTTCTGTTACTAAAAATATTACTGTCACAGTGTATGCTTCATATTAAACCTCTTCCTCTTTATGTGTATCCTTTTTGAGTAAATGGGCACATCTATTAAAATATTTTCCTGCACATTTCAATAGAACTAAAATTTGTTTGTTCCACTTTTTCCTCTTATTGATGATAAACTATCTTCTAGAAATTGGTGTACTTGCTGAACGTAAGTGTTCACGTTGAAAAAAAAAACAATGAAACACGTTTGTGAACGTCGTGTTTTTTTTGACTTGACCCTTTACAAAACCTAAAAAATAAACGCTTTTCTCGAAACAACAAAAAGGTGTTTTGAGATCCTGTTTTTTCAACACTAAGCCCCGCGCCGGTTGCCCGCGCACTCGGCCGCCGCGCCCACGACAATCCGCAGCCGCCCCCGCGCCGCGGCAACTGCGACTTACACCGCCGTTGGCAGTCGCCGACCGCCCCGCCGCCCATCCGGCTCGCTGCCGGCAGGCACAGCACACTTCGCTGGCCAAGCCGCTGCAGCTGTCGGCCTCAGAATCTGCTGCCACTGTGTGGTCAGCAGCGGCGCACACAGCCGCGCGCTGCCCCTGCTTGCTCGCCGCCGCCTCTATATAAATGGTCAAAACTAGTTTGATCAATAACTTTTGAAAATGGTGTTTTCAAAACACATTTGAAAAAACATCATGGCATGATGTTTTTCTACAAAAACACAACAAGAAAATCACCTTGATTACCAAACACCATATAAAATTTTGCCTTTATTGACATTTTGTGGCAAAGAAAGTTGCTATTCCGTTACCAAATGGAACAATGAAGAGCATAATCTATCTATTTACCTTTTTTGTCGTTACTCACTTGTTTTTTCAGGCTATACAATATAAGAATGTCTTGGCCATGGCAAGTTATGAACTAGCCGAGGTTGTTCATGGTTTCCTTGGTAAGCTGAACTGACTAGTTTCTTTGGATTTATGGTGAAGTTTACTCCTGTAGATTTTTTTTGGTAAATCTTCTATCATTCGCTCATTTACATTTTTCAGATATGGTATTGCGAATATTGCTTATTGTCACAACTATTACTCTTGTGCATAACTTGTCTCCTCCCAAGGGATCTTCTTGAGCAGAAATAGCAATGTTTCACTCGCATTTGGTAACAATCTGACGGAGGTCTTTAGAGAAGTATTTATACTGACAATTGTTACTGCACAAGCTGTGTTTTGGCCTTTAAGGTTTTAGTTTCAAAGTGCTCAGTTTCGGAATAGTTTACAAATCTTAGAGTGGAACTATGATTTTTTTACTATCTTCAATTTGTGTATGTGCCTGTGAGCGATGCTGCTGGCAACAGTTTAAGATTGTCGATGCTGCTGGCAACAGTGCAAGTTATGGCTTATATATTTAACATGCTTGAGAGTAGTCACAAGTGAATCAGTATTATCTGCTTGCTGTTGTTTTTTAAATTGAGATGTTACCATGTTGTAACTATACAAATGGTTAATGCGTCAAAATTTTAAAACAAAATACTGACCAATGCCTTTCGCCTCCAGATATTTACGCGAATTGGTACGAACTAACATTCCCAACGATTTCATCGCATGTTGGCATTGTGTTTTAGCTGTTTCTTGCAAAAAAACTTTTTGCCAAAAAACGTTGGTAATTGATACTAAGTTTTCTTCACAAATGTTGGCATCAATTACCAACGCTTGCAAAACATTGGTAATTGCCTTTTTTTTTGTGCGAAAGTTGGCAATTGCCAACGATTGCGAAAAAACCTTGGCAATTGCCGACTACACTTCCCCTTCCAACTCTTGTATCAAACGATGGGACTTGTTATAACAACATTTTAAAATATAGTTGGGTGTACTTTTAAACGTCGTTAATGACTACATTTTTTTGTAGCATGTGGCTCTTCAGGTCGAACAATATGCTTCCCTGTACCTAACTTGAGCGTCAATTGTAATCTCGATTCATTGAGGATTTCATATTGCTTGGTGTTGCCTTCATTGGCTAGGGCTTGATCGTTGAAGACCAAAGTCTGGGTTGAAACTGGATATCCTTTGTATTTTTCAATTTTCTTCTTGATCTCAAGAACAGTATCGCAAAACCAAATCTCTAATTTGAACCATTTCCCGCTTGATGTCTCAATGTCTACATCCATTTTTGGGAATAATTAGCATTTTTATTCTTCAGAAGTGGCTTTTAAAGATTTTGCACCGGTACTCAGCGTGAGAAAACAACGGAAGGCATGATGTTTCAGAGGGAGCATCAAGATTTTCTTGTGAAGAATATTAGAGTACTGCTGTTAAATATGATTTCCTGTTGGGAATCAAATTATAATATTTAAATACATCTCTATATGTAATTAAATAAAACTAATAAGTTTCTTATCTTATTAATGTTGGGAAACAATGTAAAATGCTCAAATTATTATCTTTCTTTATGCTTTAGAAGGTGTTTGGGGAGGCTTATTTTTTTGATCAAATTAGCTTTTAAGCTAGCTTTTTTATTTCTACCTGTTTGGTAAAATACCAAATAAGTTTGTTTATAAGTGCCATTTTAAAGAACATAGCTCAACTTTTGAAAACTAGCTTATAAGCTCACTTAAAAAAGTAAGGTTTGGCGAAGCAGATTAGTATTCTACTTAGATAATTTTTATAGAATTTTATCAAAAAAGCCAAAAACCATTAAAAGCTAGTATAACTATTTGCCCTCTTAGTTATAACAAGATGTTTTAATGAAAGAAATTTAGACTTTCCAATCTTTTATAAAGTTGTAAGTCACAGGCATGGTTTTAAATATTGTCCGATAATCCGATATTATCGCCGAGTTATCGGATTTAGAAGCATTTCGCTAGGATAAGTAGGATTTTTAATCGGTTATCGTTTTTTGGGGTTTATCGACGAGTTATCGGCGATAAAGGCAATATCGACCGATAAGGGAGCTCTAAATATCGACTTTATCGACCGATAAGTAGCATTTGGGATGTCACGCCTCGCTTCCCAAAATACCGGGGAATCGGAGCGTGAACAAGCCCGCGACGTATTAGATTGAGAAGAAATATATATACTATCATTTTTTTTCTTCTCAATCCAATACGCTAAGCGTCAAATATACAAATCTCAATCACAGGTCCCCGATCATAATAGTAAGAATATAAAGACAACCCAGAATAAGAAATAGACATATCATCCACAGATCATCCCAGACATAAAATATGGGTTCAACATACCCTTATTACAAAACAAGGCTAGGTAGAAATAAAAACACATAGTCCATAATAAAGAAGTACAGCCAAAATACGAAGATCCGACATTAACTAAAGAAATTAAATGATAACAAGTTCTAATATTCATCAACTACTACATAAAAGAAAAACACGTTTAGGCTTCAGTTTGTTCTTCCACTCCATCGGAAGGGCACTCCGGCTGGGCATACACCGGCTCCGCTGCTTCATCAAACTGGACCTGTTCTTCTCCTAAGTCTGACGCACACTAGAGGAAAACAGGTGTACGTCAGCGTGTATGGCACACGGCAAGATCTCACATGAACAAATAAAACGGTCGTATGACCCATGCTATGACAGTAATAATACTAATATGAAGGACAATGATACATGCAACTGGAAATCTAATGATAACATACAGCTGTGTGGAAACGGTAACTGGGTCGAATACTAATCATCCTAAGACTCACTGGTCCATCTCTCAAATAGGTCCAAGTTCGCATTACCGGAAGACTGACTGTTCACCATCCCCTACGTGCATCCAATCCCACGAAACAGGCGGCTAGAGGACCACACGTAATCCGATCTCTGCCCGGTCCGGACTCAGGCAAAGCTCAGGTGACGAAACAGGTCACGGATCCAAGTGGCGAAACAGGTCACTTGGTCCATCAAACCAACCCCAGGACGAAACAGGTCTCCGGTGCGGCCTGGAAGTTAAGTCAACAATCACATTCGATCATGCGAACTAAGACTTTCCCAACCCAACTCTTTTCGTTTTTCTCAGTCAACCATAATCTTCACTGAAACTCGGGTTCACCACCTAACTCAGTCAACGCACTCACATATGTCACTAAGTCTGTTCATGTCGCACGAGGCCACTAAGTCATGAACTACTAAGGTTCTCAACACATCAACAGATCATGAATATAGTATATTATGTTAAACATGATTATACAGGTTTATGTAGCAGAAAAGAGAACTGTAATGAACATGAAATGCATAAACAAGATACAGCATGAATATAATACATGAGTGGACTTTATTATTATCTTACCGCTGGATGTCCGATTTTCTCATACAATTTATCCGTACTTACGTATTCTCTAATATAATAATACAGTAAAAAGAAATCTAGAAACCGATGTCATTTTGTACATAAAATGTCGCGTTCTACGACGAACAACCATACTATCATAAATAATAATATTCTTTTTCCAAAAATTATTCTTTAAAACTATTTCTCATTATAACTAATTTAAAATTAAAAAGATTTATATAATATAACATAAAAATTCCCTTTCGGCATGAAAAGTAATATTCTTCTATTATAAAAATTTCCTTAACTAATTTCTTTTCGATAAAAATTTTATAAATTCTAATTTAGCACATAACTGGTCATTTCATGTCCGACATTCTTAAAAATACAATTGACAACATTATTAGTCTAATTTTCACGGTGCGCTCGCAATCATCATTCCACGCAGATATTCAAAAATACGTATTAACCACAATAATAATTTAGACATATTAAATCATCATACTAGTAACAATATTACCACAAAATAATTCATCTATATCTAATCATAATAACACGATATTAATCATTAATTAAAAGCAAGATGGATGCGAGATCTTGCCTACGACGAGTCGACTGCGAGTGTGGCTAGCGGCATCGACGCGGTGACGACAACCGAAAGGCGTGGATCTTGGACAGCGGCACGGTTGTGCAGCGTGGTTGTGCTCGTCGGTGAATCTGGCTAAGACGACGGCGGGGGAGGACTGTCGAGGGACTGCAGCGACGGAGAGGGGCGAGGGGACTGTCGGGCTGCTCGGCTACGGGAGTCGTGGGCGGAGGCCTGGGCGGCTGGCGGCGCTGAGCTCGAGGGTGGAGGAGGTCGAGGGGAGCTTGTTGTCGAGTTCGTTAGCTGGCTCGTGGAGGCGGAAGCACTCTGTTGGCGTTTGGCGGGTCTCGCGGTGGACAAGGAGGAGGGAGGTGGTGCAGCAGAGTGGTGAGCATTCTGGAGGCAGCACGACGAGGCTTGGTGCTGGCGTTTTCACGACGTCGTTGGTGAGCAGCCGGTGGACGGAGGTCAGACCTTGCTGGACGGTTCGGATCCGGGTTGGGTGGTCGAACGAGGTGGATGAGTATGCGCGGCCGGCGAAGTCAGGCCGAGGGCGGTGGGCCTGAGCTAGCGGCGCGTCAGTTCAGCGTCGGGACTGAGGAGTGGCGTTGTGCTGGGTCGCGCATCGTATCGTCGGAGCGGAGCGGCGTTGGCTGGGGTGTTTGGTGGCTGCGGGCACATACAGCGCGAAGGCGACAGGGCGGGCGGTGAGCTGGGCGTAGCTGCAGGAGGTCGGAGGGGTTGTGGTGGGCCTGTGGCTCAGAGGAGCGCGTTGGGAGCGGAGGTGAGTGGAGGCGGCGCTCAGTGCGGTCCGGAGTTCGCTGGAGGTTGGAGTGGGCGTGAAGAAAAGAAGAGAGAGAACGAGAAAGGGCGGGTCGATTCGGGAAGGTGAGCTTGGTGTGGGTTTCTTGGGTTTTTAAAAAGGGGGTGGGGGAGAGAGAAAGAGAGAGAGAGAGAGAGAGAGAGAGAGAGAGAGAGAGAGAGAGAGAGAGAGAGAGAGAGAGACGTGTGAGTGATGTGGGTTGAGTGTGAGAGAGAGAAAAGATAGATTGAGAGAGATTTTGTTGGAAAAAAATAAGGAGAGAGAATAATATTGAGAGAGAGTGTCGGAGAGAGAGATAGATTGTGTGTGAGATTGGAGAGAGAATAAGAACGGCGGAAGATTTTAATGAGAGAGAGGAGAGTTCGTGATAGGGTGGTTGGGTGGATGTGGGTTGAGAGTTGGGGGAAACACGAGGCGGAGGGATTTGCGTGAATTGGGGAGAGTTTTAGGGGGAGAGAGATATACAGAGTGAAATACCGATGAGAGGAAAAACACAGGGAAAAATACCCCCTTAAATAATTTAAAAATATCATAAAATTTATTCAAAATAAATATTAAATTTATTTTCAAAATAATAATAACAAAAACAATGATGAATAATTTACTATTTATTTAAATATTTTACCAAAACAATTAAATTTATAATTAGCAAAACTATTAAAATAACATAATACCGTATTTTTAATTCGTAGAAAATTCTAGAGAAATTAGGAAAAATACAAATACTCTTTTAGAAAAATAATATTTAATATTTAAATACTAGAAAATTATTTAAACCCATATTAGAAATTTACGGTCATTACATCCTACCCCCCTTAAAATAAATTCCGTCCTCGGAATTAAAACAAGGACGAAATATAAAGACAGATTCATCTCAACTCATATAAAGTTCAAAATATATTGCATATCCATAAATAGAAAAAGTCATACAAGACGTTTCAGAATAAGATACAAGACAAGACAACTAGGATTCAGGGAATAAATGAGGGTATCGCTGTCGCATCTCAGGCTCAGTTTCCCAAGTCGACTCTCCAGGAGAATCTGGGTGCCACATCACACGAACAAGTGAAATGGTCTTATTCTGGAGGGTCTTTTCCCTTCGGTCTAAAATCGCCACAGGCTGCTTCTCGTATGTCAAATCGGATCGCACCTCAATCTCCGAGAAATCTACGACATGACTCGGATCTCCAACGTATTTTCGCAACTGAGAAACGTGGAATACGTTATGGAATATGTTATGGACTACAGCCAGGGCGGGTGGTAATGCAAGTCGGTACGCCACTTCTCCAACTTTCTCTAATACGTCAAAAGGTCCCACATATCGCGGACTCAACTTCCCACGCCTTCCAAAGCGAATGGTGCCTCGGTTGGGGGAAATCTTCAGGAATACATGATCTCCTGGCTGAAACTCTGAATGCCGGCGTTTCGCATCTGCCCAATGCTTGAATCTGTCCTGTGCTATGCGAAGTCGCTCCTGAATGATCCTGACTGCATCAACTGATCTCTCAATCAACTCTGGCCCAAAAATCTCCCGTTCACCAACATCGTCCCAACTCAAGGGAGAGCGGCACTTCCTGCCATACAATGCTGCAAAAGGGGCCATTCCAATACTAGCCTGGAAACTATTGTTGTATGCAAACTCCACCAAATGCAAGTGATCTTCCCACGACCCGTGGAAGTCAAGCATACAAGCTCTAAGCATATCTTCCAAAATCTGAATGGTCCTCTCTGACTGTCCATCAGTCTGGGGATGATAAGCTGTGCTGAAACTGAGACTGGTCCCAAGACTCGCCAACAAACTCTTCCAGAACTCTGAGGTAAATCGGGTATCGCGATCCGAAACGATGCACACTGGAACTCCGTGCAATCGCACGATCTCCTGCAATACTAGAGATTTACTAACACTCTTGGAAAGGAACTCATCGAACATATAGAGATAGATATTTTACCTCCATGTATCTCTGAGCAAGATGCTCCGTCGACTGTCCCACTCGGAAAGGAATGAAGTGAGCCGATTTGGTTAATCGATCTACGATCACCCAAACAGCATCATTCTGTCTAGTGCTTCGAGGTAAGCCAGTAACGAAGTCCATGGTGACATGCTGCCACTTCCATTCTGGAATGGGCAATGGCTGCAAAAGACCTGCGATGCGCTGATGCTTTGCCTTCACCTGCTGACATACAAGGCACTTAGCCACACTACGAGCCACATCTCTCTTCATACCACGCCACCAAAAATTCAACTTCAGATCCTTATACATCTTCGTACCTCCAGGGTGAATAGAATATGGTGAACTATGAGCTTCCCGCAATATCTCCTCTCGAATATCTCCTCCTGGGACGCAGATACGACTCCCAAATCGTAAGGATCCGTCCTCATGAACAACAAATTCCGGTCGAAGATTAGCCACTGCTAACTCTCTGCACTTCCGAAGAAATGGGTCACCTGCTTGAGCTGCCTTGATTCGCTCGATCAGTGTCGATTGAATCTGAAGATTCATCAAAAAAGCGGCGACTCCTGGAAGAAGAACTTCTATACTCATATCCCTCACTTCCTGCTGGAGTCTCCACTGAGCCGTGAGGGTCATGATTGCCGGCAAGAGTCTCCACTGAGCCGTGAGGGTCATGATCGTCGGTAATCGGCTCAATGCATCTGGTACTACATTGAACTTACCAGGGTGATACTGAAGATCAATGTCATAATCCGCCATCAGCTCTAACCATCGGCGTTGCCTCATGTTGAGCTCCTTCTGAGTAAATATGTACTTCAAGCTCTTGTGATCAGTGAACACCTTCACTTGCTCTCCTAACAGATAATGCCTCCAAAGCTTAAGGGCAAAAATCACAGCTGCCAACTCCAAGTCGTGGGTAGGATAATTCTGCTCATGCTTCTTCAACTGACGAGAAGCATACGCTACCACATGACCATCTTGCTGAAGCACGCATCCCAATCATCTACCTGATGCGTCGTAAAACACCTCAAAGTTCCCACTCTTATCTGGTATCGTCAAGACCGGGGCCGAAATCAGTCGAGACTTTAACTCCTCAAACGCCTGCTCACAAGCGTCGGACCAGACAAACTTAATATCCTTCCTCGTAAGTAGTGTCATCAGCTCTGCAATCTTCGAAAAATCTCTGATGAAGCGACGTAGTAACCAGCTAATCCCAGGAAGCTCTTAATATCAGACACCGACTTAGGGGTAGGCCAATCCCTCACTGCAGATACCTTCTCCGGATCCACTGATATGCCGTCTCCTGACACCACGTGTCCCAGAAACGCTATACGATCTAGCTAGAACTGGCACTTACTATACTTGGCAAATAGCCGATGCTCTCTCAAGGTCTTCAACACGTACCGCAAATGCTCTGCATGTTCCGCCTCACTCTTAGAGTACACCAAGATATCATCAATAAAGACCTCCACAAACTTGTCCAGCACATCATAGAATACCAGATTCATCAGGTTCATGAATGTCGCCGGTGCATTAGTCACACCAAACGGCATCACTAAGAACTCATAATGTCCATATCTCGTCCGAAACGCAGTCTTGGGGACATCAGAATCCTTAACCTTCACCTGGTGATATCCGCTCCGCAAATCCAGCTTAGAAAATACTCTCGATCCTCCCAATTGATCGAAGATATCATCGATACAGGGAAGTTGATACTTATTCTTCACTGTTACCGCATTCAACTCTCGGTAGTCGATGCACATCCGCTTGGATCCATCCTTCTTCCCCACAAGCAACACAGATGCTCCCCAGGCCGATATACTAGGTCGAATCAACCCTCTCTGCAAAAGATCATTTAACTGAGTCCGAAGCTCGGCCAACTCAGCTGGGGGCATACGATAAGGGGTATTGGAGATCGGTGCAACTCTAGGCTTCAATTCTATGAAAAACTCAATTGCTCGATCCGGCGACAATCCATAAATATCGTCGGGAAACACATCTTCAAATTCTCGAAGTACAACTGGCTTCTCGGATTCCACTTGCATTGCAGCTAACGTCGCCTTCTTCGGTCTAGCTCTGTACTCCACAGGTCCGGCCGATGTGTTACCACTGGTGAACTAAAATCTCGGGTGATCCGGTATCTCGAATACTACGCTCCAACGACGACAATCAATGGTGGCAAAGAACGACCCCAACCAATCCATCCCAAATACCGCTTCAAAGCTCGGCAAATCTATCACCAGAAAATCTGCGAAGAGTTCCCTCCCGCAGATGACCACAGGGCATGCTTCATATCCACTGGATGCTACTAAGACACCACTTCCAGTGTTGATATTCCAGCCCGTAGTCAGAGGAGTTATAAGAAGGGAATGGGCACTCGCAAATCGACGAGACAAGAAGCAATGGGAGGCTCTAGAATCAAAGAGTGATAAAGCGGGAACAGAAGAAACAAGAACCTTACCTATTTAGGAGGATATAACGCAACTAACTTAGTACTCATAAACAATTCTGTCATGATATCATCATGTAATGCTAAATAAGAAGTTCATATGCAAATAAAACTCAGAATGAGTAATTCTTACCCGTGATAACTTGATCGTTCGCCTCAGCTTCTACGGCTGACATCATAAACATCTGCCGCTGTGGTTGCTGCCTTTGTGTTTTCTGATAAGCCTGCTGCTGTGGAGGAAGTGGCCCTGCTCGAGGATAGGATCTGGGCTGAGGCGGTGCTGCCGGGACTGGTCGAGGTGGTGCTGGGAGGGCCGCCCGAACTGGGGGTGGGGGCAAACGAGTCTACTGCTGCTGGGGACAGTCCTGACTGATATGACCCGAGAACCCACAAGTATAGCATAAACGGAGACGCTTGCGGCACTCCTGATAGGTATGTCCAGCGAAATCACAATAGGAGCACTTCACCGAAGGCTGGCCGCGAGTCTGCACTCCAGGGCGCTGATAAGGGTGACTCTGAGGGAATGGCTGACGCTGAGAGTGCTGCTGTCTCTGCGGGTTCTGCTGCTGCTGTCTCGGAGGGAGACGCTCGACATTCCGGGTCGGAGCTGCTGGTGTCCTGCTCTGAATCAAGTGTGAATCTTCTGGTTCCTTCCGGGTCGGAGCTGCTGGTGTCCTGCTCTGAATCAAGTGTGAATCTTCTGGTTCCTTCTGCACGCTCTTAATCTCATGTGCTGCATCCAATACGGCGTCGTGAGTCGCGAGAGCCCTACCAGCCAAAGCCAATCTGATATACTTATCCAGACCTTTCTAGAACTGGTGCCTTCTGATAGTGGGGTCTGTGACCAAGTGGGGAGCATATCAGCTCAAAGAAGAAAACTCGGCCTCGTACTCATCGACTGATCGACCCCCCTGCTTGAGATCGACAAATCTACTCAGGAGCTCATCTCGGGCCGACTGAGGAAAATACTTCCTATTGAAGCGATCCGTGAACGTTTCCCACAGAATCGGCCTCTCTAGGTGTGTCTTCTCAGCAGCCCACCAGATTCTAGCTGTATCCGTGAGCTGAACATCCATGAGATCTACCCACTCTGCAGGGGGAATATGAGTCACCGTAAGGATAGTCTCCGTGACCATGAGGAACTCCTCTGCTGCTAAAGGTCCATCGGCACCAGTAAAGGAAGGAGGCCGCATATATTGAAACTCTCTAACACCAGGCTCCGAGCGAGGTGGATGCTGGTGCTGAGGCTCCTGCTGCAAATGCCCAGCTAAGAAATGCTGGTTCGTCACCAGCCCCTGAATCATTACTAAAAGCTGCTGTGGATCTGCTTCAGGCATCTGACCACTGCCACTGGATGAGTTACCATTACTACGAGTACCCACCATGATTCTGAAGGAACGAGGATCAAAAGGAAAATTAAGGTTAAAATCAAACAATATATTTGGAAAATAGGAACTAAAACATAGTTATTAAGATAATAATATAAGAACTTAATTGTAGTCTTACGGATGGAAAATGATATGTATTAGAATCGTCCAATACATTCTTACTAGTGGGAACTCGGGACCGTGACCTGCATGAGCCACCACTAAAACCTGTCACGCCCCGCTTCCCAAAATACCGGGGAATCGGAGCGTGAACAAACCCGCGACGTATTAGATTGATAAGAAATATATATACTATCATTTTTTTTCTTTTCTTCTCAATCCAATACACTAAGCGTTAAATATACAAATCTCAATCACAGGTCCCCGATCATAATAGTAAGAATATAAAGACAACCCAGAATAAGAAATAGACATATCATCCACAGATCATCCCAGACATAAAATATGGGTTCAACATACCCTTATTACAAAACAAGGCTAGGTAGAAATAAAAACACATAGTCCATAATAAAGAAGTACTGCCAAAATACAAAGATCCGACATTAACTAAAGAAATAAAATGATAACGAGTTCTAATATTCATCAACTACTACATAAAAGAAAAACACGTCTAGGCTTCAGTTTGTTCTTCCACTCCATCGGAAGGCACTCCGGCTGGGCATACACCGGCTCCGCTGCTTCATCAAACTGGACCTATTCTTCTCCTAAGTCTGACGCACACCAGAGGAAAACAGGTGTACGTCAGCGTGTATGGCACACGACAAGATCTCACATGAACAAATAAAACGGTCGTATGACCCATGCTATGACAGTAATAATACTAATATGAAGGACAATGATACATGCAACTGGAAATCTAATGATAACATACAGCTGTGTGGAAACGGTAACTGGGTCGAATACTAATCATCCTAAGACTCACTGGTCCATCTCTCAAATAGGTCCAAGTTCGCATTACTGGAAGACTGACTGTTCACCATCCCCTACGTGCATCTAATCCCACGAAACAGGCGGCTAGAGGACCACACGTAATCCGATCTCTGTCCGGTCCGGACTCAGGCAAAGCTCAGGTGACGAAACAGGTCACGGATCCAAGTGGCGAAACAGGTCACTTGGTCCATCAAACCAACCCCAGGACGAAACAGGTCTCTAGTGCGGCCTGGAAGTTAAGTCAACAATCACATTCGATCATGCAAACTAAGACTTTCCCAACCCAACTCTTTTTGTTTTTCTCAGTCAACCATAATACTCACTGAAACTCGGGTTCACCACCTAACTCAGTCAACGCACTCACACATGTCACTAAGTCTGTTCATGTCGCACGAGGCCACTAAGTCATGAACTACTAAGGTTCTCAACACATCAACAGATCATGAATATAGTATATTATGTTAAACATGATTACACAGGTTTATGTAGCAGAAAAGAGAACTGTAATGAACATGAAATGCATAAACAAGATACAACATGAATATAATACATGAGTGGACTTTATTATTATCTTACCGCTGGATGTCCGAATTTCTCATACAATTTATTCGTACTTACGTATTCTCTAATATAATAATACAGTAAAAAGAAATCTAGAAACCGATGTTGTTTTGTACATAAAATGTCGCGTTCTACGACGAACAGCCATACTATCATAAATAATAATATTCTTTTTTCAAAAAATTATTCTTTAAAACTATTTCTCATTATAACTAATTTAAAATTAAAAAGATTTATATAATATAACATAAAAATTCCCTTTCGGCATGAAAAGTAATATTCTTCTATTATATAAATTTCCTTAACTAATTTCTTTTCGATAAAAATTTCATAAATTCTAATTTGGCACATAACTGGTCATTTCATGTCTGGAATTCTTAAAAATACAATTGACAACATTATTAGTCTAATTTTCACGGTGCGCTCGCAATCATCATTCCACGCAGATATTCAAAAACACGTATTAACCACAATAATAATTTAGACATATTAAATCATCATACTAGTAACAATATTACCACAAAATAATTCATCTATATCTAATCATAATAACACAATATTAATCATTAATTAAAAGCAAGATGGATGCGAGATCTTGCCTACGACGAGTCGACTGCGAGTGTGGCTAGCGGCGTCGACGCGTTGATGACAACTGAAAGGCGTGGATCTTGGACAGCGGCACGGTTGTGCAGCGTGATTGTGCTCGTCGGTGAATCTGGCTAAGACGACGGCGGGGGAGGACTGTCGAGGGACTGCAGCGACGGAGAGGGGCGAGGGGACTGTCGGGCTGCTCGGCTACGGGAGTCGTGGGCGGAGCCCGGCTCGACGGCAGTCGCTGAGCTCGAGGGTGAGAGCTCGAGGGCGCTGTTCGATCGAAGTTTCGGAGCTGCTCGTGGAGGCGGAGCTCGCGGCGTCCGTTGGGGTCTGCGGTGGACAAGGAGGAGGGAGGTGGTGCAGCGAGTGTGGAGCTTCTGGAGGCAACGACTGAGGCTTTGGTGGGCCTGGCGTTTCACGGCTGTCGCCTCGCGGGCAGCAGCGGTTGGACGGAGCCATGGACTGCTGGAGTTGGGTTCTGGGTTTGCGGTAGGTCGGGGAAACCGGGAGGTGGAGGAGTAGCCACGGCGAAGTTCAGGCGAGTGGCTGGTGAGGCTGAGCTAGGCCGCGGCGAGTTCGGCGGGGCTGAGTGAGGCGTTTGCGGGTAGCGGTTGGCCGAGTAGTTCGTCAGAGTGGCGGAGCGGCGTTGCTGGGGTGTTTGGCGCTAGGCGGGCACAGGCTAAGGCGGACAGGCGGGCGTGAGCTGGGCATAGCTGGCAGGATGGTCGGAGGGTTGTGGTGGGCTGCGGCTCAGAGGGAGCGGCGTTGGAGGCGGAGGTGGGCTGGAGGCGGACGCTCAGTGGCGGTCGAGTTCGGCTGGAGGTGGAGTGGGCGTGAAGAAGAAGAGAGAGAACGAGAAAATGGGGGAGCTGGTGTGGGTTTCTTGGGTTTTAAAAGAGGGGAGAGAGAGAGTGAAGAAAGAGACGATGAGCTGGAGAGTGAGATGAGAGAGAGAGAGACGTGTGAGTGATGTGGGTTGAGTGTGAGAGAGAGAAAAGATAGATTGAGAGAGATTTTGTTGGAATAAAATAAGAAGAGAGAATAATATTGAGAGAGAGTGTCAGACAGAGAGAGATAGATTGCGTGTGAGATTGGAGAGAGAGTAAGAACGGCGGAAGATTTTAATGAGAGAGAGAGAGTACGTGATAGGGTGGTTGGGTGGATGTGGGTTGAGAGCTGGGGGAAACACGAGGCGGAGGGATTTGCGTGAATTGGGGAGAGTTTTAGGGGGAGAGAGATTTACAGAGTGAAATACCGGTGAGAGGAAAAACACAGGAAAAAATACCCCCTTAAATAATTTAAAAACATCATAAAATTTATTCAAAATAAATATTAAATTTATGGTCAAAATAGTAACAAGAACAATAATGAGTAATTAACTATTTATTTAAAAATTTTACCAAAACAATTAAATTTATAATTAGCAAAACTATTAAAGTAACATAATACCGTATTTTTAATTCGTAGAAAATTCTAGAGAAATTAGGAAAAATACAAATACTCTTTTAGAAAAATAATATTTAATATTTAAATACTAGAAAATTATTTAAACCCGTATTAGAAATTTACGGTCATTACATGGGAACTTTTGCTTTCTTTTGGATTTACTCTTTGAATGTTTACGAATTATGAACTATTTGTTACCTTTGGAACTTGGTTGATTGGTGATTAGCTTATCTTTATTTATGGATATTGATAATGGCTCATAACTATTAAATATCAACTTAGTAAGTTAGTTTATGAATCTCATGATTAAACAATAATTATGTAACACTAGACTGCATTTGGATTCCCCGGGTGTATTTCATAAGCACATATTGCGATGTGTGTAACATTAGACTGCATTTGAATTATCTAGGACGAGTCACATGTGAAATTCAAATTGTTACATGGCCCTTTTGACTTGATGATATTGTCATTTTCGCTTTAATAATTTAGTGTGCTTTGATGTGATAGTTATTTTTGTTTAGCAAGCGCTATACAACCTAAAACGTTGGGTTGCTAGATTTCATTTAGGAAAATAATGGATATCTAAATAGAATTCAATATGCTTATTATGATGAGTTAATTTATTGTGCATTCCCATGAAGTTATTAAATTCCTACCGGCAGGGGGTTTTAAAAATATTTTTTAAAAGTTATTTTCATATAAAATAAAATATTTTGATGTTTCAAACTGATTTTTATTTATGTTCATAAGAATTGCAATTTAAGTATGAGCAAATATGTAAATTTTCCTGCTCAAAACTTACCTAAAATAAATGTACTAGAGGGGTCTAAATGTAAAATATTATTTATAGATAATTAATCCCATATTTTTGAAGAGCTTTTATGGACAGTTGGTCGGATAGGGATTTGATAGTTAAATTAAAATCATTAATTTGATTAATAATTGGTTTTCAATATGGACCCAATTGGTCTCTCTAATATTATTAGAAGAGGTATACATGCACAATTCTATTATATCCATAATTGTTATGGATCGAGTTTCTTGAACAATTCTATTCTAGCTTTAATTGTTATAGATAGAGTTTTAAGCAATTACAAATTATTTAAAGTTAAAATCTATGAGGCTAGTACAATCCTATATATAGAATTCATATGTAGCCTTATGAAAATACAGAAAAATCTTATGAAGATAAGATGATGAATAGAATAGAGAAAATAGAATTTTGAGAACCTATATCTCAGTATTGCTCATCTTCGATGATGTGTATTTCAATTGAAGGTTTTTTTCTCTTGAGAAACCTATTTTGAATTGATCTTGGGATAGCTTATTAAAGAAATTCGAAAAGCGTTTTAGTTATTCTTCCATTTTTTATAAATTTTAATTAATTGTCATGAAATGCATATTTCGCCTTGTTTGTAGGTCATGTTCCCAATAAAGTTGTCTATAGATTGATTAATCTGAAAATGTATAAAGTCGAAATAGAAAATACAAACATGTGCAGGGCAGATATGTCCGAGTATTTCAGCTACGATTATATATATTTTTTCGACACTCTCTTAAAGGAACTGTTAGAGAAAGATGAAGGCATTAAACGATCTAATTTATTCCTATACGCTTGCGATATAATTCCTGAACAATTATGCATTACAAAGGAACTGCTATTCTTGCTAAGTCTATAGACGATGTTAGGTTAGGAACTGTATAGTAGCCAGCTAGAAAGTTTTCAATTATAGTCGTATACTCGTATGCAATTGAATCATGTTCATCAGTTGCATTTCTTTGTTTCATTGAAACGAAACAGTTACAGTTATAACTGTAGTCGCAAATGCTTTCCCCCCTTTTTCGTGAAGTTCTAGTGACTAGTGTGTATGTTGCAAATGCTCGTTCAGTTGCAACCTATTACTTAAAAAAGATTTCAGCACAAACTGCCCTTGCAACCTAGTAACTAACAATTGTAATTAACTACAATAGTTTTGCTTATTTTGGGTGCTGTAAGATAATGAAAAGATTCAAAAAATATTTCTTACTATGTAATATTATAAATATTGTAATTTTTTGTTAGAATAGTAAAATCATTCTTATAAATTATTTTCAACTTTATTATATTGTGTCCTAAGTTATTAACAATGTTGAATGTTATTTTTTTTACCATTTATTATATTGCCGTATGTTTCAAGAATTTCATTTGGAATATAGTATTAAAATACATTAAAATATTTTTAATAACTCAAGATGGCTCAAAAAATATCGTAAGTTAAAATAACAAAATTTTTTTGGGACCACTAAAAGTTTATCAATTTGTATGTAGATCTAGAAGATAAAAAATGAATGAATATATTCATGTAGACCCCTGTTGCTCTGTTAATTGCAGCCAGACCCAAAAGATCCAAACTTTGTTAGGAATAAGCTTGGATAATTGTGGAAACCCCTGAGTTTTGCCATATATTAGTAATAGGTCCAAAATTATTAGAATAATGTCATAGAAATTATGATAAATTGCTAAAATTAGCAAAAAGCCTATGTATACCCTATTTATAGATTTTAATTATTATTTGATTATACTTGAATCTGATTGGCTCTAGATTTTGAAGTGATTAGCCTATAACATACGCTTGTCCTGAATTAATATTAGTCTTATATCTTTATATTATAGGATCTGGTTGATATCTGGGGGAGTAATATTTAGAGGAAGTGGTGTCCACTAGAGGTGAGTTTATTTCTCAGTATTATTTTTTTATAATATAAAACAATTCCGTGAGTATTATAATCTATTGATTTTTTGCTTGAAAAATAATTATTCTATTATTTTTCATGTATAGAAAATGATGTGTGAGTTGATCGATTCTGTCACGACCTAACTCATAAATGATTTTGATTCTTGTGAGATATTGAAAGTAAATTTGATTTCATATAAAATGTGACAAGTGATTTTGATTCTCATGCGTTCTAAAATAACTGCGAATATCACTTTATTTGAAAACTATTGAAGAAAGAAATGATTTAAATGTGTTTCAGCAGTTCACAAATTCAAGTGATTTTTTTGATATGATATTTTAGAAAAAAGTAAATAAAATGAATTTGTTGAACCATTTTAATTGATATGATGAGTTTACACTCATCCACTTAATTCGGAAGTGTTTGAAATTTTCAAAAGTGGACACCTTTATACCAATACAACTTTTGGTACAAGCAATGTGTTTTCGAGATAAAGTAGTGTGGCAACTGATGAGTTGTCGAAATTAAGCAATTTGGTAAGTGATGTGTTTTTTAGATCAAGCTATTTGATAATTGATTCTTGATATTTTTAAAACCCTCAAAAAAGTCAATGGAGCGATGTGTTAGTGTCTGCCATATGGTAAATGCACCTTTATGTGGCTCTTTGGGCATTTGTGACGTGGCCCTTTTGGGAATTTGTGATATTGTCACGACCCCAATTTCCAAACCTAAAAGGAATATTGGAGCCGGACTAAATCTGTGAAAAATCCTCCACAAATATATTTTCATCAAAAGACCATCAAAATAATCTCTCATTGAAATAAAACCATCAATAAATATTCTCTATAATCCCAAAAGTCAACATTAATCCAATCAAATTAATATAAATAAATATTCCTCAACTTGAAATAAACCTCAACTTAAAGGAAAGAATATTATTATTCCAAAACTCTCAATTTATCAACGAAACATCAAGGACTTTATTTAACATTCACCTAGAAAATAATAACAATCTCGAATCTTATTCCTTGGCCCGTTCTAAGATTTTGAATAATCCTCAAATCCACCTAATCCCGAGTCTCTGAAAAGAATGAAAAATAACACAATGAGTTCACAACTCAATAAGTGGATAAATTCATACATTAAACACTGGTTTTGCAAAACTAAAATAAAGTTACTGGGAAAACAAATTACTAAAATAGTAAAAATTCATAATGCAACATTTTAAAATATATAAATGCAATGGAAATAAGCAGGTCACGTCTCAATGCGGTCAACACTTCGATACTCCGGTTGACTTGGCAAACCCCACTATTATAAAGCCCGTGGTAGGGACGATGAGACCCAAACTTGGGCTCTTAGCGCTAAAATAGAAACCTCATAGAGGCACATTGAGCCTTGTGTTAATAACTTGCTTATATCCGACATATACCGGTATATTGACCTGAGATGCATATGCCTTAAGAAAATTAAACAAAGTTCGCATAACTAAATACATTATATAAAAATGCCAAAGGCTAACCGATAGTGAAATAAATCAATCACATATGCATCTCAATCTACTACAATATGAAAATCATAAAAATTGATAAAGAAAATAAGCATAGGCTTATACTAAATAATCACATGCATTTATCCAATCAACAATTAGTATGCGAGCAACCATATAGAAGGGTATAATCCATCAGAACAAAACTTACATATAGTCAATATAATTTTATATGAAAAATACACAGCGAATAACGTACAAATTCACCACTTACACAAATCCGAAAGACTATCGGAATACCAATCACGACGCCTCCTCGAAATCACTTGGAACTCCTACATAATATATACAAATAACCATCAAAATTAACGTATAACTTAAGACCCGAATACCTATTAAAATAATCTTAGGATATTATCATACACCATTTAATTAACTATACTAAAATCAATCTACATACCCTACTGTACCCTATAACTACAGTTAAACATTGTATACATAACAAATTTTTTTTTTCATAGAATCCATATACTTATATGCTACGAATCATAATATAATGCATGAAGATAATAAAAGTAAGAGCAGTAATAATCTCTTGTGTCAGCCATGGCCATGGATTAAAATATCATGCATGGAGAGAAAAGTTAAATAAATAAATAATTTATACCTTGATTAATATATCTCTATTTTTCTTAAAAGCTTCCCCATGGCCGAAAATCAAAACAAGGCTTCCTCTTTTCTTTTTTTTGTGTGCGCGTGCGGCGGAAAAGTGATGAGAAGGAAGAAGAGGCTGACGGCCGGGAATCAAAGAAGAAATAGATGGGGTGGTTTCCAGGTATTTATAAAGGTTTTTTTTTTTAAATCCTCTAACAAATTTTGCATAAAAGTCCTTTATAGAAGAGTTGGGTAGGGTTTTCACAATTTATAAGAGCCCTTTTTTTCTAATAAAACCTTCTAACAAATTTTACATAAAAGCTCCTATACTTTTCCTTATATATATATATCTTAAAACTTAGAATTATTACAGATATGGCCGGCGGCCTATGGCAATGTTAGGTGCATTCTGCTCCCGGAAACTATGTGTTATGTAATGCTTTTCACATTCCCATGCTACTGGGCTATAATTTGTAGCCATAGTGACCTATGAGGTGATACTTACATTATATGAATGACTTATCCAGATTTAAGCTTTTGACATTTGAATGTGAATTTGAGAAAATAACAATGTTTCGGTTTTTCACAAATTTAATTGTCCGTTTTCTTTCTTAGTATTTACCTTAACTTCAAAGAGTATAGTTTGGAGTATCCTGTAGTATATTCAGTTGCTCATAAGAAGGAAATCTAAAATATTGCATTCTTTCTCGAAAAGAACAATACTATGTTATTAACAATTAATAGTGTTGAGTTTTTTGGGTCGGAAGTTGGTTGGGGGCAGTTAGGTGCATGTTAGAATGCGATTCTTGCTGCTAACTTGCTCCTTCTGCTGAGATCTTGATGGCTAAAAAAAGAAAAATAGTGGGATAAAGATCTTCTCAATTGGATTTCGAGCTTCAAATTCGAGTTTATCTTCTCCTGCTGATCAAACTGATGCTAGTTTTGAGGAAATTGATGAAGATTTGATTCCAGCTGCAATGGGTTCTATTGGACCACGAGGAGAGAAGAAGAAGAAAGCAATGAGTGAAATTCTTGAAGCCGCTGCTCCCATGATTGATCCTCTGATGATTGGCATTCAATATCATCATCTAAGTATCCTTTATCTCAAAGAGGCTCTAGCAGTTCAACTAGGGTTTCTTGGGCTGAGGGAATAGATTTGGAGATTGATTCCCCAAATCCTTCTGCATCTCATCATCCTACTACTAATCTGACAAATGTTTTTGGTGCTACTCCATTGATTGCTGGATCGAATTCTGATCCTGTTTCTGCTACATTGAAATCTATTGATAATTTGACAAATCTTGATAGCTCGATGCCTATTACGTCTCTTGTTGTAGATTTTTAAATATTAATTCCATCTAGTAGTATGACCTTGTTATGTTGATGATTATAGGATGGCTACCTGTATGATATTGTTACTCAGATGTTTATGTTTTCTCCTGATTATTATACTCTAGTGATGGATTATATCTAGCTTGTTAGTATTTCAGCTGCATGTTTCTATTTGTTATTACTTACACCTGTTTTCTCTGGTGTACGTCAGACTTAGATGAAGAACAGGTTCAGCTAGGAGATCATTAGGAGCCAGAGGATTCTCAGCAGGAGTGCCCTGCAGACGGAGCAGAAGAAGCTGAAGCTTAGTTATTGGTCCTCCGTTTTCTTTTGTACTACCTTCCATTTCTATTTGATCAGTGTATTTTGTATCTTTTCAGTATTCATTTGTTTATATTTGTATGATCAGTGTATTTTGTATCTTTTCAGTATTCATTTGTTTATATTTGTATAAGGGCATGTTTGACCCGAATATTATGTCTTGGATGATATTCATTTGTGATATGTATCTTTTCCATTCTGAGTTGTTCATTGTATTCTTGCTATGTGTGATCGGGGACCTGTGACTTCGCATTGTACTTATTTCTAGACGCTTAGCGTATTGGATTGAGAAGAAAAGAAAAGAGAAAAAATAATGATATTGTATATTTCTTCTCAATCTAATACGTCGCGGGCTTGTTCACGTTCCGGTTCCCGAGTATTTTGGGAAGCGGGGCGTGACAGGTTTTAGTGGTGGCCCATGCAGGTCACGATCCCGATTTCACACTAGTAAGAATATAGTAGACAATTTAGAAACATATCATATTTCATCCGTGAGACTATCCTTGAGCCCTTATCCTATTTTCTTGATAGATTTCGTTTCGTACCTATCTTATCACTTTTGACTCCGGAACTTTCCACTATTTCTTGTCTCGTAACTTTCCATTGTTTCTTGTTTATTGTCTCGTCACGTCTTGACTCCGCTCTCGTTCCATATCTCTGTCCTTGGGCTCTTTTAATTCCGAGGACGGAATTTGTTTTAAGGGGGGTAGGATGTAACAACCGTAATTTTTCGATACGTATTTAAACTATTTTTTTCTAGTATTTAAAATATTATATTTTATTTTATTAATATTTTTCCTAATTTCTGGAATGTTATGAGTTTTAAATAAAATAAATAAATAAATAAAATATATAGTCCTGAAATTATTAATTCTGTGAAATATTAATTTACAGTTACAATGAATATTTTAAATAATTATTTTAACTATTGATACTATTAATAATAATTTAATGTAAATTTGAGCTAAGTACATTAATACATATGTAAATATATAAATATTGGCTGTTAATTATTTATTAATATTATTATATGGTTAATTATTATTATAAGGATTATTTTTAAATATTATGAATAAGTAAATAAATAAATATTTCTCATAATCTTTTTCCCCTTAATTTTCTCTCATTTGAATTCCTACCATAATCTCCCTAATCAATTTCCAATCAACCCCAAATCACTCCCCATGATTTTCTCCAGCCAAATTAATCCTTCCATTTTATTTTCTCTCATTTCAAAATTTAAAAAAAGATACCTAATCAAATCCTCTCTCTCCTCTTATTTCCATCAGCCATTCTCTCTCTCCCACGTACCCCCTCTCTCTCTCCATCATTTCACCCAAAGAAAACCCACCCTCTCTCCTTCTTCTTCTTCCTCAAACACCAAACCCGACCACCCTGCACCCGAGCTCC